ATCTCTCCCTCTCGCCTCAGGAGATGAAAGAAAATGTTTTTCTCCCCGAGTCTGGCCTTCATAATTCCATTCCATCACAGTGACAGGGAAGAGGGTGTGGATATATTTTCCATTGTGCCCGAGGGTAGGACAAGAACCAGTGGGTGGAAGCTCTACAGAGAGACCCAAACTTGAAATAAGGAGGGATTTCCTGACTGTGAAAGCTATTAGGCAGAGGAACAGCCTGCCTCTTGGAGTTGTGGATGCCCCATCACTGGAGGTTTTCAAGCAAAGGTTGGACGGCCGTTGGTCTGGGATGGTGAGAGGATTCCTGCTCTGGACAGGGGGTTGGACTAGAAGACCACCGAGTTCCCTTTCAGCCCTATGATCCTGTGTCTAAATACAGGTAGTCCTCATTTAGCAACCGTTCGCAGTTACGACAGTGATAAAAAGATAACTTTGCCACCAGTCCTCATGTTGATGACTTTCGCAGGTCTGTAAAGCAAAGGAAAGCTGAAGTAAGGTCATAAGCAGAGTCACGGTTTCACTTAGCGATCGCTTCGCTTAATGACCAAGTTGCCGGTCCCAGTTGTGGTCACTGAGGACTACCTGTAGTCAAAAGAAGTCAAGCTTGGCTGAGCATAGGCCTAACTTTTGTTGCAGATGCTGGAAACATTGGAATATTTTTAATTGTAGGGGCACTTCTTTCTGCCACCAGGTCATAAGAAAATGTCTTGGGCTTTGAATAAAATTGGCAGAGGGGTTGGACGAAGACGACGAGGGTCCCTTTCAGCCCTCTGATTCTGTAATTCGTGAAATTGTCTCATAGGATATTGCATTTTCCAGAGGCTCATGTGAGACCGATAAATTAGAAGCATTATCTATTTAGCATTTGTCTAAAGCTTTGCCTCGATTCAGAGTGCTTTCAGTCTTTCCTTGGTGAGGATCTTGGGTTCGCATTGAATTAAGATAATACAGGGTTTTCCATGCTACTGTGTACAACTGAACGAAAATCTTTCAGTCCCTTTACAGCAAGGCAGTTCCCCCAAAAGGTTTAGATGCTGTTGCAAATTTTGTTCTTTCAAGGCTGTGGATAGCTGTCTCTTATATATTGATCATATCACTTCAGCTATAATTGTAGACCTGAGATCTATTAATAATCACTAATATTTGTACCTTTTTAACCAGTATTTTATCCAGAGAAAAATTGCAATGCAATATTATTTTAATCCAAATTAAACACACTTACATTAAGGTTTACATAGACTGTTAGAAAATCCTAAATCATAATACATGGAGTATATTACAAACCCTTCAGAGGCTACTTGAGTTCCAAAAAAAAAAAGCTCAGAAGCGATCAGCTGGAGATTTAGGAATGTTCTGGATCCAAAATTCAATCTCTCATAAATCATCTTTCCAAATTAAATTAGAGGCCTGGATTGTTAGCATAGACTTCACAGGTGTCGCCTATGCTTGGTGGGAATTCTAGAAGTTGACATCTGGAAAGGGTCAGGTTGTGGAAACAGTCTAGTAGAGGCCTAAAGCTCATTTAGCACTATGAGGTTTATCCTGAAGGAAAGACATTGAACTTGATGGAGCTGTTCCCAGTAAATGGATCTAGAATTATAATCTCAGTCTTTATCAGCAGAATATTTAATTCTCTTCCTAATGCAGAGTTTCTCAACCTGAGCAACTTGAAGACGTGTGGACTTCAACTCCTAGGATTCCCCAGCCAGCATGGCTGGCTGGGGAATCCT